GACCGTCGCTTCCATTGTGTGCCCCAAAGCAGGGTGCGCGCAGGGACGGTGACTTGTGCTAGAATTAATTTCTAGTGACAGCAGACTTTCGCCGCATCTACCGCACCCCTCTTCCTCCTTTGACACGGTTCAGTCAAAAATAACGGAGGCAGGCGCGACCGCAGCCGCCCCTAAGCCTATGTGTTCTATAAATAGGCAATGACCTTACGCAGCTGAATTAGAGGTTGCGAAACTTTATAACGTCCTTAACTTCTGTGTATTTCCTTGGCCTTGTCTTATTCAAATCAACTTTTTTATTCAAAGTTGGTTTGTTTTGCGTTAGTTAACCCAACTTCCCGTATCCGGACTTGTTCTTTTTCATAGCATGGAGGAGTGCGAGGCGCTGTGCACACGGCTTGGCGTACTGGTAAACGGTCGGTTAAAGTGCCTCGGCTCCTGTCAACACCTCAAGTCGCGCTTCGGTCAGGGCTACAGCCTCTGCCTCCAGGTCTCCTTGAACCCCTCCATGTGGCCGATTACCGTCACCTCTCCAGTCCCTACCAGTACTGGCGTCAATTGCGTCGGCAGTCGAGCCTGTCTCAGCTGTGCCTCATCCATGAGTAATCTTACTGTCGGCGTTGCTAGTACCGGAGACGCAGGCAGTTGTTGCTCCACTCCCACTGGCACTTTTGGGGACTCCGGTTCCCTGGCTCTACGTGCCTCCGTACAACGTGTGATCGACTTTCTGACAACCGAGCTTACGCACGTCCAGCTGCTGGATAGGCACCAGGTATGTATCAGTGACCCCCTTCGCTCATTTTCAGCTCTTGTGTGGTTGTTTACCTTTTTCCGCAGGTAAAATCCTCCTGGCCGGGAATCGCGTGCAATTGAAACAGCATCGCCCACTATAGCCTTCTTAGTGCTAGGCACCTTACAAGCCCTCCCATTCTCTCTACCAGGACACAGTGTCTTAGCTTCGATGCTGTTTCGGAAGCCTACGACTTACTTGGGGTTAAATAGCCTAACCGACAAAGGCAGAGAGAACTAGAATAACCATTTCTAGCTTACTGGCCGTCACTACTTAGTCATACCCAACCCCAGGTTGCGCACAATCCGAGGCTCGAACCCGCGACCTGTTAGGCATCGAGTGTCCTAACCATTGAGCTGCGGGCTCGTTGTCCTGTCGGTTGCGATAGCGTATGGGACGCTCACCGATCGCGTTACGAGACACACTCATCCTGTTGTGCCTTGTGGCTCACTTCCTAGTCTTACCAGCAACTGCTGTGTGCCCCCAGGAAACAAGTGTGTCCCGCAACGGTATCGGTAAATGTCCCGCTGCCACTTTCGATTTGTGACCTTTGACCCCCTGAACCCCAAAGACCTGAACTCGTTCACAGCCCCTTCCCCTCCCCGAACTTGTCGCTAAGACCTTGTATTCCTGAGGGTATTTGTCACGTCTTTTCCGGTCAGTTCATGGTGTAAACTAACGACACTTCGAATGATGACGTCGCAGTGACGAAGTTTCACGCGAAGTTTTTCAACCCGATGATTAGGTTATGCTTATCTTTGAGGGCGTAGACGTAATAGTGACTTGCACGAACT